TTCTTTCTTCACGGACACGCGGTATGATTCCTTACCGTCTGAACCTTCCCTTCATTACAGTTGAGATTCAGCTCTTTCTGTCCAGCGCTAGTGATCTCCTTCGAATTAGCGGCCAGGTCTCCGAGCCATTAAGACCTGCGTTAACAGCCTTGTTAAGTGTTAATTATCTGCAGATTCATCATGTGTTAAATGCGATGCCACGTTCTGCCTTATTAGGCCGAAGAAGGGCTATTAACCACCAGGAAATAATTAATCAACAGCTTTGTGACCTACTTCCTTCGAGTGACGCTGCTTTTTTCCGCCAGCTGCTTTTTATTTATACGTGTGTGTGTGTACACTGTAAGAACGCGATTGTGCCCTTTCATCTCGTTGTTCGCATGCGCACAACGCCGTGCGTGTTTGAGCAGCGGTGGGGTGTGCGTGACTGTGACACGATACAAGTATGTTTCAGTGTGATTATGAACTCAGCGGGAGAGTGATGAGGAGGCGCAGGGAGAGCTGTGGAGCCACAGGTGTGTTTCACAAGCAGCAGTCTTCTCCCCAGAGCTGCCTCGCCAACACACAACCAACACACACACACACACACACACACACAAAACGAGTCCATCCAGTGACAATAATGCATGCTCTCAGCTTACACTCAGAGTAAAGGAACAGAAAGCTTTCTGAAAGCCGGATATATTTATATACTGTGTCTCAGTTTTCAGATGCGTGCGGTCTGATTTATGAACGTGTACAAGACTCTGCAAATGTATAGTTAGATATCAGTGTTATCAGTTTAGTAAATGTGTGTAAGACTGTACATGTGAGCAAGATTTGTCCGTGTGAACAGTTCGTTTGCAAACTCTGTCTTCAGAAACCTTCAGAAAACCCACTTTTCCATCGTCTACCTGAGATAATATCAATCAAACTGAAGTTATCTCTATTTTTGTTAAATCCACTCAACTTTAGTTTGATTGATATTATCTCAAGCAAACAACAACAAAACAAAAAAATCTGAAAATCTATAAAAATGGAGTTATCCAAGGTTCTCTGGCTTCCTCCCACATGGTCCAAAAACATGTTGAGGTTAATTGGTGATTCTAAATTGTCCGTAGGTGTGAATGTGAGTGTGCTTGGTTGTCTGTCTCTAAGTGTAGCCCTGTGATAGACTGGTGACCTGTCCAGGGTGTCCACTGCCTTCACCCTGAGTCAGCTGGGATAGACTCCAGCCCCCCATGACCCTAGTGAGGATTAAGCAGTGTATAGATAATGGATGGATGGATTTATCTGTTTTTGCAAATGAACTCTTTGTGCGTAAAGGCAAGTATATGCATTCAACAAATTGGATCTGGAGTGAAAACTGTTATAAGAAAAACACGTTTCTGCGTTTGCATCTCAGGTGTTGCCTGAGTGGCAGTGGAGATAGGATAGGAGATGTGGGGGAGGAGATCAGGGGAGTAAAGGTCAGGATTCAAACCAGCAACTCGGCTACTGAGGCTGTTTACAGCTGAGATGCTGGGATGCCTCAAATGTGTGGCTTTTCACTTGTCGTTTTTTTGCTACTTTCATGCCGCGTCTCAGCTTTTCTCAAATGTGTGGCGATCTCTCTGTAGCCCCCACAGGCTCTTACTAGTGTACTAGCACAGCTTCAACCGCTACAGCTCAGCAACGTCACGGTTAAAATCACCAGTGGAACATGTGTTGCTACTGGGCCACACTGTGAGGTGATCAGCCTGGCAGGGTGAGCCTGTAGTGAGGTCAGGAAGGAGAAAAAAAACAGCTGCAGACGGATCACCAGGCGCACTCGAAGTGTCTGAGGTCACGTGCCTCAGGTGGAAATGAAGAATTATTTTGTGCTCTTGAACCTAAATACTGACTATTTTCCTTTTCTTTGAGTGCATTTGTGCAGAATCTTTGTCATATGCACAAATGTTATTCAAATTTACACACTATATTTGACTATTCTTGCACACATTCACAAATCAAATAGAGTGTCACAGCTTTCTGCACATTTATACAGAATTTTCCTTCACTAATACCCCCTTAGCACCACACAATAATCACACTGTTAATGGCTGTCATATAACAGAATATAATAATAAAAAAAATAAGCTCTTTATTTCCGAACAGTTTTATAAGATGGAGGTATAAAATGTCTTATATATCTGTTCTAAAACTCGTAAAATTAACACAGAGCAGCGAAGAGCAAAGCCAGCAAAGGCGTAAAACATAAAAGCAAAGCAATAACTTAAAAGTGACAGCGCAACAAGGTCAGTAATAACTAACAGAATTTCAATTCGTCCAAACAAGTCCATAAAGTTTCAAGCAGCTTTTACCAGATTATAATCAATCTGCAGGTTTAAGCTGCGCAGCGGAGGCCTGGCTGAGCAGGGGGGCTCGAGGAACGGGTTCATGTTGCACTTTGATAAAGTTAGAAACTCACAGGAAGCAGATTTTTAACAGGAGGACGAAAATCAAAGCAGCAGAGGTGGAAATATTTAGATTTTTAGTCTGGAGCAGGGGTATAAATCACCTGTAACGCAGCTTTGTCTTTAATATTTGCATTAAAATGACTGTTTTCTCCAGAGAAACGTTCTAAATAATATTCTTTCTGATGAGTATGTAACATTGATTGAATGCTCACACTCGAGATGTTGACTTTAAGAGATATTGATGCTCCCCAGTGTTTTTTTCTTAACCACCACCAGCCTCTCCTTCATCCCTCTCCTCCTCCTCCTCTTCTTGTCCGAGTCGTGAACCTTTCATGTCACCTCGGCTTGTATGGGTTTTGAACTCACACACCTCAGCCGTCTGAATGCCGTCCTCGGCGGTGGATGGAAGCAGCTATTAAATTAATTAACCCTATAAAAACACAGGCTGTCGGAGCAGCGATATTAATGATACACGGCTAAGCTCCTTTTTAAAATTAATCCCCTGGTTGCGTTTCTCTCTGATGTTTCTAGAACAGGTAGACTGTTGCTCTCCATGTTGTGTGTGTGTGTGTAACGGCATCAAACGGTGCATAAATTACAATCCGTGCTGTTTATTTAGTGTAAAATGTAAAATCATATTCTGTAAAACACTGCATCCTAAAGTTTAGTAGCTGTAAAAGTTCAAAACACTTTCTCGTCACTTAGAGTTTACACAATATATTTGGAATAATCATAGATATTGTGAGGCTGAATTTGTTTTTCATATTCCAGACGACGAGGGCACTCAAGCCGGTGGCCTGTCTTGCAGTTTTAAAGATCTGGATCAGCACCAGAGTTTAATGGATTGTTCCTTTGGCCACACTCCACCTCTCCGATGAGTTTTGTAGAATTCAACCTGGTGGTTTTTTGTGTAATCAGACAAACAAATAGAGCAGCATTAGTGAAAACATAACCACCTTCACTGAGCAAAAAAATGTGCAAAATGGGATTTTTATATTGAAGACTTGCAAGTTATCTTTCTCTTACATGCAACTCTTTAATGTAGCTCTGTTATTATATGAATTTATGTGTTGAATATTCATGAGCTAATGAGGAAATATGCAAATTTCAAGTTCAAAACTAAACAAAAAGCATCACATTTGGATTCATATGATGCTAGATTAACGCATAGACGTTCTCCTTCTCAGACCGGCAGCACAAAGAAAACACAAATCCTCCCCAAAAAATTAACTGAAACATTTCAGTGGGATCCCTTCATGCATAGTAACGAGCTAATGGAGAGAATAGATTTTCGGGGCTTTTAAATCGTTCGATCCAGAAAATACAATTTCAGAGGGACGTCTTCCTAAAACTTGGAATCGGTAATAACCATTTAGGAAAAGAAAACGAGCCCACGGGTTGCAGAACTGAAACGCTTTTTTTTTTTTTTTTTTTTAACACGCAACTCCTTATTTATTTATTTTTTTTCCCCATAACTTTATCTGATCTGTTTACAGTACACATGTTAGCGTGTTGTCGTGGTGGAGGTCACAAACACTGTCCTTGCTTCCCAAAAAAACAAAATTGGGGGAGTTAGAGACACAGACACAGAGCGAGCAGGCTTGGATGTCCTCTCCAGCAGCGCAGATGCCACTAAATAAAATATTTCATAATCCTGCCCAAATCCTCTAATCACCATGACAACAGGCAGCAGGGAGCCAGAGAGTGGTGGTGTGTGGACCCCCCTTCTCCTTTTTCTTTTCCCTCCTTTTCCCTCTTTTTTTTTTTTTAATCTGAATTTGGGTCCACACTGTCAGATTTTTTTCCTTCTTCTTCTTCCTCAATACGACACTGTTGTTTTTTTTTAACCACCTAAAGAATGCATCCTATTGATTTTTTTTGGGCGGGGGGGAGTAATTTAACTCAAGCACTCAGTTGGTCTTTTAATCAGCGAAGTACTTAAAATTTCCAGCAGTTTTTTTTCTTCACTTTTGTCCCACGACTCCGTGAACCGGCGAGGACCGAGACACGAAGATCACAAAGTCGGTTCAAGACAAGAAACCTGGAGACGAAGTTTAAATTAAATTACTGTGGATGCTTTTTTTTTTTCTTTTTTCGCTTCGGTGTCAGGATGAGTGTGTAAAGGGCGTCGAAAGTGCACACACACACACACATAGCGGAGCACTGAAGGCCTGCCGGCTTCTGTACGGTGATAGGATAATGGAGGTGATGACCTCATGGGGTGAAAGGACCTGTTGCCTGGTAACAGTGTGGATAACAGTGAGAGATGGGGGTAGTCATATCACTGGTGTGTCTCTGAGTGTGTGGGTGAGAGAGAGAAGAGAGGAGTGTGTGTGAGATGTATCGACCGGCGTTGCCAGTTAAGGGAGATGATGGCAGCGGTTTAAAGTAGAAGAGAGTCAAGTTTAGGAGTATCGATCCCTCTCAGGTGTGTTCGTGCCGCTGATTTAGGCAAAAAAAAACAGGCGGTAACCGATTCCTGCTGCGGGATGAATATCCTACATTTCGCTGCTCCTTCTGCGGCTCGCTTGACTGTGTGTGCCAGACATAAATAATTAACTCCCTCTTGTCTTGGTCTCTCTGCAGGTATTCGGCCCCAGATTATGAATGGGCCTATGCACCCGCGCCCCCTGGTGGCGCTGCTGGATGGGCGCGACTGCACCGTGGAGATGCCCATCCTCAAAGATCTGGCCACCGTGGCTTTCTGCGACGCCCAGTCCACGCAGGAGATACACGAAAAGGTACAGAAGCAGATCACGGACGCCCCTTTTCATCTTTTGTTTTTTGAATTCTTTCTGGTGGAAAAAGCAGGATTTAACTTTTACCTGCCCTTTAAACTTCAAATAGAATACACTTGATGTATTTATAAGCAGGTTTGAGTAGCATTTGTTCATCAACTTTAATTAGATATTACTGAGTTGCTCTCAGCTTTATGTTTCCTTTATTAGAGCGCCTCCACATTTCAAATCTGCCTCACCAGTCAGCCAAGAAAAATATAAAAAAAAGATGAAAAGAATTTAAACAGTGACGTGTCAAAAAAATAGGCATCTTCCCATACTGGCCCGAATATTTGAATCGCTTCTAAGGATTCCTACAGTCACATACTGCTTCCATTTTTGTCTTAATATGCCAATTAAATGATGTAAATACTGACTTCCCATATCTGTAATGAAATATTCTAAACACAAGGCCGACATGTGGAGCTTCAGTCTCATAATTATCATGGAAAAAAACCATATGTTACACATTGGAATCCAATCAAATTGAGAAACGACAGATTGACTGGCACAAAAAAGAACATTTTATACGATTAAAAGCAAAGTTGAAATGCAATTAAATCATACAAGTGCACACACTAGCAATCTGAATTCACAGTTTTCTCTCAGAGTTAACTCCTCTTCCACAAACTCAGTGTATAAGAAATGCAGACTTTTACATTTGAATGTGACACCTGGTGAGTTTAACACACAATGCATGTTTAGAATAAGTGTCAGAACGTGTCAGACCACGTAATGTTGCAGCACCACCAGTCTGCCGGCTGTGACGGCGGCGACAGTATCTGCAGGAACTCTGATGCAGAAGCAGACGCACGCTGTGATGCCGACAGAGGATGAACTTTGAATGCGTTCCCTGAATTATTTGCTTTCACTGCGGTGAAGAAGAATCATCTCTTTCTTCCGTCTGCGTCTCCTCCTCTGTAATGTTTTAATAATATTTCAGCCCACTGGCTTGTTCCACTCTCCCAGTTCAGCTATAATGGTTTCATCACGGACTCTAATCCCACCGGGTGCTCCAGTGCTGCTTTGTTAAATAAGGAGGAGGAGGAGGAGGAGGAGGAGGAGGCTGGTAATAGAAATGCAGTATAATTGTTCTCAGCCAGAGTGGGTGAAACATTTGTCTTATTTTACAGTCTATACACTGGAGCCAGTGAGCAGCTATTTTACACTCGGAGCAGGAGGGTTTTTTGTCTTCACACTCACAAAGAGAGTAGGAAGGCTTCCATTTCATGTTATATCAATTAGAGGGCCGACCGAGGCTGCGTTTTTGAGGCCGATGCAGATTTTAGGGCGGAAAAAAATTCTGATAACGACACATCTGCTGCTATTCTTGATATATATGTTAGTTATTTAGAAAAAGGAACATGATTTGTTTTATTAACCTAACAGCAATGTGTCACAAACGAGTTAGCTGCTTAAGACACAGCTTGACTCTGAACCACCATTTGCTCGGCTGTGACTCTGCTACATGTGCTGCACACACTGCTGAGAGGTTTGTTACCAATCCAGTATTGTTGAATGATTTCTAAATAACCCTATGCATCTTTTTCTGTATTATATTGTCAGTGCATATCCCACAACATACACACTGGAGATGTAGTGACTTGATTCGACAAACAAAAACAACCTAAGCCACAGTGAGGGGCTGGTACCGAGATATGTAACTGACACGTCGTCATGCGGCGGCTCCACGCAGTAAATCAAACATCTGCGGACTTGTGCTTAAGATGTGTTTATTTACCACCGTGTACCACTACAGCCTTCGCTGTGCACACACTTACATCCATAACTTGCATGAAAACAAGCAAAAGGCTTAAAGATTTGCCTCTAAACGGCGATCAGAAACTGTTTGCTTCTCCTGGTAGGCAGCACACCTGAGGAGTAATTACCTCTTCATCTATTTGTACATTTCAATGTGCTGCTGTCCAGTACGCCACCTACTGTGGCAATCAGGGAATGACCTGAACAACACATAAACAAATGGCTCTAACAGTAAGAGTGAAAAAGCTGCTTTAACCTAAAATAATCTGTAACCTGGCTGCCTTACAACATGAAGTAATTCCCGCCAAGAGTAACTTTTAACTGTTTGTACATATATCTGACTTAGACTTCTAATACTGAGTTAGGGTAACAAAGACAACATTGATGAAGTCTGATTGGCTTCATACTTAACTCTCAATTGTTTTTTTCAGAGATACCAACAAGACATTTTGCTTTTAATGATGTCTTAAGTTCTACAAACATTACAATTAAAGTTGTTTGAACTTACATCTTGTTCGTCATCAATATATCAACATGTTGTTGTTTTTTTCTATCCGTTTAACACAGAAACATACTGAAAGGCATGATTAAATATAAAATTAATGATTGCATGTTTAGGTTTTCCCCCCAGTGGTTCAAACTGGTGGGCTACCGTTGATAAGATACTGTTATTGCATGCATGACCTTTCATATTAAAACAGACATCTGCAGTTTTTATAATATTTCTACCCTTCCACATTTTCTCTCCAGTCACACCCACTCATACATACTGTACCTACTTTTGTAGGCATCGCTAAACTATCACTGAAGAAACTAAATATGAGGAAACGACAAACAACATAGCAGCTACAAGTCTTTAGGTGAGAGTACATGTTGGAGTTTAAAGCAAACATCATCCTAAAACCTGTTAATATTGCTCGCACCACAGGTGTAAACCAGACGTGGTATAAAACCTCAGATATCCATCCTATGACGGTGTACAGGAGACAGGCATCAAAGGAGTGTATATCAGGTTAAAAGTAAAACATTTAAAACTCATGGGTATCGGGGATAAACGGACTTCATGCACGAACTGATGAACCTCAAATGTTTTTTAGGAAAGCCTGGTTACTTTGTCAGGAGCAGTTCATCTTAGTTTTTAATGTAACTGTGTAGTTTGTTCACACATCTTTTCTAACAGTTCAACATGAAATTGATTCATTACCATCTGCAATTATTCAAAAAGCTATTCCTCTTTTTTTTTTTTATGAATCTACTTAGTGTTAAAACTCTGAATATTATGACAAACTTAACATGTTTCTCGTTGTCATTTATTTAATAAAACTGCACCAAATAGCCTCAGTGGTGTGCTTTAATCATAGAAGAACTATCCAGGTGGAGAAGCAAAAATTGTGAAATAATTTGGTAGTCAGAAAATACCAGTATCATAAAAAAAAAGTGTAATTTGAACCTGTGCAATATTTGTATAAGACCAACATCAGCCAATGAACAGACTTCAAATCCAAATCCTCTAAAATATTCGTCATTGTTCATTTACAATTAAAACGTTGTCAGTTTCACTTTAATGCCGGCGTTGTGATTTGAATTTGTAAGTTAAATGGAAGAAATGCAAAACAAATACTTGATATTTGGTCTTTTTTTTTCTTCACACACACACACACACACAAGAGATCTCTGTCCAGCAAGATGTTGTGAATACATTTCACACACAGAGGACTCTTCTGGGAGTATAGAGGTTGGCAGCGATCCCACAACTGTAACTACACAGCAGAGGGTGCAGATGGGGCGCACACACACACACACACACACACACACACACACACACACACTCCAACAACCTCAGTGGTTTCAGCCAGTGAAGTGCTGTTCACACACAAGTATATAAAACAAACTCGCAGCGAGCAAACAAAAGCGCTCTGCTGTCTTTTCCGCATGCAGCGCCTGCAAGTGAGCAGATGCAGCTATTAAGAGATCCGTCACTTAAGGAATCGGTGTAAACTGTAGTTCGTGCTCTCTCGCCGTGCAACCGGCAGCCTGTGGTGACCTGCGAGGAAAAAAAAATATAAAAATTTTGTGGCTCCCGCTGAGTACACTTTAAAAGAAATTTATTAGAGAGCACTCACGGTCCATTAACTTGATACGGCACTGTCCTTGGAAAGACAAAGAAGACCCGGTGAATTGCAGAAAGATACAAAGTGGTGTGCTTTTCAAGTGTGTTTGGCACCGCTCTGTCGGTAACCACAGCTTTTTTTTTTTTTTATATCAAGTGCCGCTATTTTAGTGCAAAGTAAAATTGGTTAACACTCAACTGTGTTTGTGGATGTAATTGATAAAATGACTGTGTGTTTAACTTGGACACTAGTAAGGACAGAATAGTGTTTAAGGAGAAATGGAGAATGTCAGACCTTCAACACGAGAAGTTCTTATTATTTATTTATTGATTTTTTTTTGAGAGAGAGAGGGGACGTTTAACAAGCTGGAACTGAACATGCTTTAACCAAACATCTGTGGTTTCATCCATCTTCACATTTAAGAGTAATAAATGTAAAAAAATTACGATTGTGGGTTTAATTTTAGTTTTTTGTTGTATTTGTCTCATGCATCCCTCCATCTCCTCGAATTGGCTGCTACTTTTGCACACAAATTCATGACAAACCACAATTCCCGACTACAAAAACATCTTCTGAAGCCCGCTGCCCTGTGATGGAACAATGAGAGGTGCAAATTACACAAAGAAAAGTGATCAAATCATCTCTTGAATTAGCTTTTGTTTGAGCATCTGAGCACAATCTTAAAGGAATTCTGTGAAGTTTGCTTTTTTTTTTTTTTCTTTTCTCGCTGGTGCTGCTTTCATGTCTGGAAGCATGACACCAGAGCCAGCAGGTGATTAACTTAGCTTAGCATCAGTGAACGCAGCCTGTCTTAGAAAAATAGGCAGTAACAGCACCTCAGAAGCTCAGGAATTGACACGCTGTATCTCTGAATTAGCATTAAGACTGAAAGCCAGAGCACCTTCTAGCACCTTCGAACTCACTAATAAACATATCGTATGTTTAATCTGCTCTCAGACTGGAATCATAAAACATTCAGGCTTTATTTGCTCTGCGGTATTCACGACTCGTCCACCGCCGCGTGCCAACTACAGAAGAATACTTTTTTAACGCAGCTACTGCTAATTAACACGATGCAAAATCCATTCGCTCAGTTTTTCCACCCCACATAAACTTGCTCTCAGCTTTTTTATTCCTGTTGCACAGTGTGCAGTGATTCGGTGTCGTTTTCCAGCATCGTCTCCAGCCAAGCCTGCCTCTGGCCGGCTTCGCTCAAGTAATGAGATTAATGCATGAGGAGAGCTTTAACCTTGAGTTTAGCATCCAGCTCCCCGCTACCGCTAGCTTCAATAAAAATGTTATATGGAAATTCATGGCTATGCTAATCTGCCTCGGTTAGGTTAATTCAGTTAGCGGGTTGTGAATTTAAACCGGTTATTTAACAGCCTCGGCGTGCAGCAGCTACTTGTTTATGCTCCCTGGGTTTCTCTGCAGCTGTCAGTCTACTTTATTGTCCTGCCTGCATCCACTCTAACCTTGTTTGCATACAGTCTGAGTGAATGGAATGTGACAAAAACCAGCTTTGGCAAGCACTCATTATACAGTAAACACACAGACAATCACTCATATTTTAGAGCACACATAAACAATCCATTTGCATTTAGATGAAGAATAACGGACACAAACTTAGGTCCAGGAAAATGGGAGATGGTGAAACCGCTCCTATTCGTGTTGGCTGCAACAAGTCGCCATACATGGAAAAACCATCTGAATATCGATGTCGGGATGAGAATGATTAAGAGCAGTAATGACATTGTGATCACAATATAAATGCAAATGAAAATGTTTTGTTTTCGTCCGTCTCTAACGTGGCTAATGATTGCCGAGGAAATGCTGATGTAAACGGCGATGATGATGGTGATGGTGATGATGATGTCGGTGATGCCTCATCCTCTGTGATGTCCCTCAGGTGCTGAACGAGGCCGTAGGGGCCATGATGTACCACACCATCACCCTGACCAGAGAGGACTTGGAGAAGTTCAAGGCGCTGCGCATCATCATACGCATCGGCAGCGGTTACGACAACATCGACATCAAGGCTGCCGGCGAGCTCGGTGAGGCTGAGGGGACAGATGCGGGCAGAAGAGGAAGAATGTAGACATAAAAAAAAAAGTGAGGTCGTTCAGAGGCAGACGGTAATCATACGGCAAGAATAATGAACAAGACGGCTCGTGTCTGCCCATATGGCTCATTCATTGTCTACCAAGTGGTGGCATTCGATACGTCAACACAAACCAAAATGATGCATCGTGGATGGGACACATTTGGATGGACGCCAAACCAAACTCTCCTCGCCGTACTGACTTAACATAAACAACATATGTAACAGGAATTATTAACTGTAAACAGAAGGTGTAATGGAACTGATTGCACATGCAGAGCAGATGCTCCAACTGATATGAAACTCTCCCTCTGATTCCCATTTGGCCCCTTCGGCATATGTTTGGTATGAGAGCAGGATTTAGTGTGATATCCTAATTATTGTCGTTTGCGCGACTACATTTCAGTGCGCTGTGACATGGATTTCTTTTGGTGGGCATAATTAGCAGCTATAATCATCCTCTTATCCTTCACAGTTCAATTTTATACACAGTGTGATTTTATTTTGTAGAAGGTCATAAAGAAAGAGAAATTCCCTGCCAGTTATTTAGTAAAAAAAATACTGCAGATCATCTCTCTTTAAACCAGCAGTTACACACTCTGAAGCAATAGTGTCTTGAATTGTCATGTTTTCAGCTTCATAGTGGGTTTTTTTTTCTCTCTTCCATTTTACCTTTTCCAGGCATCGCGGTGTGTAATATTCCCTCGGCAGCTGTAGAAGAAACAGCCGACTCAACACTTTGTCACATCCTTAACCTGTACCGGCGAAACACCTGGCTGTACCAGGCTCTCCGGGAGGGCACGCGGGTCCAGAGCGTGGAGCAGATCCGGGAGGTGGCGTCGGGAGCGGCCAGGATCCGAGGAGAGACGCTGGGCCTCATCGGGTTTGGTGAGCGTCTTGTTTTTATGTTTGGCTTTACTGCAGAAAGTGATCTGAAGCAACTCACAACTTGAATTCAAACATGATACCCAACAAGTGCACTGAGGTCTCCCATGACACTCTGGAAATCAAAGTGAAATTATTATTGATGATTGAATATTCTCTGTAATAAATACTAATAGACTAATCAGTTTTCTAATCTGTCTTCTATTAGCTGCAAGTGTGAAGTAGACTCTGCAACAAACTAAGCATAAAAAAACTGATTGATGCCTTTTGGAGCCCAACACTAACCCATTAATCTCACCTCATAGTGCACCCCTCGGGTTGTTTGCTTAAAGTTGGCGTCTTTAAATCCGGAAAAAGACTGCTGACATTTATCTGGTTTACATATTCGGACTGCTGGCCCCTCTCCCATCCTTCTTTACTTTGTTTTCTCCTGTTAAGCTCAAACGTGCAGGGGACATGCAAGAATAGGGTCGCATGGATCGGTCCCAATCACCTGGTTTATTTTCCATTTATAGAGTCGAGTCTGTGTATGAGGGTGTAAGCGCTAGGGCTGGACCCGAATAGCCTAATAGCTGACTGTTCGTTCACTGTGCTGGAATCAGGATATCAATTTTGATCTCCGGATATTCCCTCGCTGGGCCGCCACTGCTACTGATGGCGGAAACAGTATGGTGACTGCTGATGCCACTGCTGCCCCTGCCCCGCCTGTGCGTCCCGCCCACTTCCAGCCCGTTGGAATGAATACCCACCCGCCACCACCGCGCAGCACCCCCAAATATTCGGAATATTCCTCATTAATTGGGGCCGAATATCCAGAGAATAGAAATTGTTATTCAAACCAGCCCTAGTAACCACAGAACAGATAGCTAGCAGAACAATGAATTTCACTAGAAGCCTGTTGGATTAGATTTGCGTACTCCACCTTTAACTCCATTTATTTAACCTATATAAATAAGAGTGTACATCCACACCAGCAGTTGTGTGAAGCAGAAGGGCCTTGAGCTAAATGCCAGCATCAACTAGCGAACAAGCTTACATTGATGTTTGTCAGGTATAAGCTTCTGATTACAGTGTTGAAACCAAGTTAATATAATGGGCTAGCATGCTAAGAGTTTTTAATTAGCACAAATTAAAGCTGAGAGAAAAAATGAGTTTGAATGTCTGAACGAACCTCTTGGGAACACGTTCAGTAGTTGTTTTAGTCAATGTTTTCTTTCCATCTCCCGCCCCCTTCAGGTCGCTCAGGCCAGGCGGTGGCCATGCGCGCCAAGGCGTTCGGCTTCAACGTGATCTTCTACGACCCCTACCTCCAGGACGGCTTGGAGCGCTCGCTGGGAGTCCAGCGGGTCTACACGCTCCAGGACCTGCTCTACCAGAGCGACTGCGTCTCCCTGCACTGCAACCTGAACGAACACAACCACCACCTCATCAACGACTTCACCATCAAACAGGTGTGTTGAGATGGGGGGGTGGCGTGTTTAGTGGAAGCTCCACAGATCAGCTTTCTTACATGAGCCTCAGGTGATGGACGATGAAGGGATCTCGCATTAAACACGACTTGATCTGACAAGCTGACAGAGTCGAGAACTTATCAAAAACTGACGTGTCTCAATTAGCAGAAGCTCCGTCTCATCACTTAATATTCCTCGAGGCTGGTGGTGGAGCGTTAGCCCAGCGGACTAGCAGCTGACTAAGCCACCGGCACATCTTCGCCACCTCTGTTGGCAACTTGCTGCATAAACAGCCCTTTAATGAGCGGCGAGATGCTCAGAATAAGCACATGCAAAGAAGCGCAGGTGTTTGGAGGATCTCTGTGGATTCTGAGGGATTCATTTATGGGGTTGGATGGTGGGTGGTGAGGGGGGGGACGTGTTTTGTGTTGTTATTGCAGGCAGGAAAATTCTGTTCTCACTTACAGTTTCTGTCCTTTCATACCTTTCAGGGCAGCGTGACCCAAACAAAGTGTGTGTGGGCAGATAATGTTCAGTCAAAGTGCGTTCATGTGCATGTTCCTCATCAGCAGGGAACCAAACAAAAGAGATGTTCGGGTTGAAAACATTTGAATTTCCGTCTTACGTAAGAAAATTTATTACGTTGACCCAAATAGAACAAAGTATTCTGACATTCTTGGGCTATAAAACGAGTAAATATTAGCTTGTCTCAGCATATACACGGTCTAAACATTTTCCCTGCAGTGTAATCTAGCACACTGATTTGTCAAAGCCCGTGATATATTAGTGCACTTGCACATTCTGAGCAGCACACCACACCTATTGTGAGCTGCCAACAAAGCAGTCAGCGACAAGCCAAGGAATGCTACTGACCAGCCAAGTCACAGTTGCCAGCTGAGTGGGCTGCCAGGCCAGGCGTGCAACTTAACCGGCCTTGATGAATCAGCAGCTAAGCTAACGACATCGTGCTCTTTAACCCCAACATTTAAGGGGTTTGTGCTTTTGGGAGACCGGAGTTTTGTCTCAAAATGACACAAAATGTCCTCATAGTATAGCTGTGTAAACTCATTTTTGTCTCCATTACACAAGAAAAAGAAATACTGTGAGGTTATTGCAAATGTAATTGAACATCCTTTTAGTTTTCTCTTGGCCACTGCTGCCACCTGGAGGACATAAAGTGGACTGCAATTTCACAACTGTGTACTTATTTTTTTTTTTTTTTACCAATTGTGTGTATTTCTGAGGAAAAAAATCAAGTTTATTACAATTTCTAATTTTCTGTTTTACTATATAAAGTGTAATTTGTTAAATGGCGTGAATAAGAGCTTCTGTGAGGAGATTTAAGGAAATAGCGTCAATAAAATGCATCATGTTGTATTCTGAAAATATTACTATGAGAATAATGATATATTCTGTGCTGTTGTGTCTCTGTGGGTGTGTGTAGATGCGTCAAGGTGCTTTCCTGGTCAACTCTGCACGGGGAGGTCTAGTGGATGAGAAAGCTTTGGCTCAGGCCCTGAAAGAAGGCAGAATACGGGGCGCCGCCTTGGACGTCCACGAGTCGGAGCCCTTCAGGTGCCTCCACATTCTAACTGGAACAGCTTCTGAGCAAAAGTCCCTCGTTTATTAATTCAGTTCACTGTTTAACCCTCTGAGGTGCTTTCTGGGTATCTTTTGCTTTGGGCACATTTTGGCATTTTTACAACCATGGGTAGAAGTAAAGAGAACTCAGAAATGTTCAGTATGATGCTGTTATAGTGACGTAAATCATTAAAATAAAGAAAAGAAATGTTGAGAAAGTGGATTTTCTTTATATAAATAAACTGGAATCAACATGTGCACCATTTTGTCCAAGTGCCTACAGAGGTTACTAATACTGGATGGAACTGGGATGCTTCACTTGGTATTTTATGACCTACATTTTTAATTTGTTACCATGCTAATGTCCAATCTGCTCTGTGCAAACACAGCCTGCAGCTCAACCTAGGTTTGAAAAATTCTCAGAAATTTTGTCTGATGAATGATAGCTGCAGTCACTCGTGGCTTCAGGAGGAGCCCACATCTTTTTAAAAATAATTTGTTTTGGGGAATTTTGTTCATAAACTAGTTGAATAAAGTACTTTCAACTAAATATAATGATTGGATGTGGTCAGTTTTCCCAATGGAACTGCTTACCACAAACTATACATTTAAGCCACGGCAGAAAAGTGAAACATTCTTTCTGTTTTTAGTTTCTGGTTCTGATAAATGGCACAATAGTAGTGATTTCTTTAAAGATGTCATGATTCAGAGGGTTAAACACGGTTTGCTTCATACATGTACATCATAATAAATAAAGCAAATAGTTCCCAACCATATCAACACAATCAGTAGAAGCTGCTCTTCTGTTTTATTCCTCTTGTAATCGTTTTCTCTTTTCCGTCTTGACCAGTTTTTCCCAAGGTCCTCTGAAAGACGCCCCCAACCTGATCTGCACGCCCCACACCGCCTGGTACAGCGAGCAGGCGTCGCTGGAGATGAGGGAGGCGGCTGCCACAGAAATCCGCCGAGCCATCACTGGTACGGAGACGTCTATTACGCATTCCCACGCTCGCAGATTTTGATATCTGAACTTACCCCCCTGCTCTCGACACAGGCCGTATTCCTGACAGCCTTCGAAACTGCGTCAACAAAGAGTTCTTTGTTACGACGGCGCCCTGGGGAGTGATAGAGCAGCAGCAGCCTCAAGTTCACCCTGAGATCAATGGTGCCGCCTACAGGTAGGAGGTGGATTTATTTGAAGTCGGCGTCGCACAGAGATCACCTGTGTCATCTCAACACCTTCAGTAGTGAGGCTTAGCCCGTGGTGGGGGAGGGGAGGGGGAGTCTGAGTGTTCATATGTATGTTTGTAACCATTCTGACTTTCTTTTCCTGCTGGGTTTAGTTGTTTGTGGCCTGTTTATACACAGAACTTGGCCCGAATCAGTTTGTCCCATGTTAAGTCTAGGCTCTTGGTTTCTCAGTCTCTATATTGTCTCAACCAGACTGAACTGCTTCTCTCACACAGCCGAGTGAACCAAACCATGGTACAGGCCATAGCAACGGGGGGAATGCAGGACAAATTATATACCTAATTCTCAACCAGGTAAATGAATACTACCGCTGCTGGCCGACAGGCCGGGGCAAATGAATAACCTCATTAATAAAACCGACTCCCATTGAAACCTGTAGCCCTTGTCTGCTTCACACTCTAACTTACATGTTCTGTAACTGTACCCACTCTACCCAGCATCTCATCAGCCCCTCTGACCCCCTCTGATCACCCCTGAAACACAAACTGCAGCTCACAGGATCTGATTTTTTTAAATTTTTTTTTAAAGAAGCAGTTATACATTTACAGAATAAGTAGCGTTTTCAGGATGAAGACGGAAAGCAGGAAGGTTTGAGTAGAGGAGGGAGAACACGGGGTTATGTCGGGAGGAGGGAACAACGGCAGATCTGATTGTGGAAAGTTTTACTTTTGTAAGCATTTGTAAAACCACTCAGCAACAAACCCACCTGGGATATGACAAGTTGTTTTATTTGCTATAAGACACCCACGTTTCCCTTTTCAGCTCCCCGTGATAAAGGGTCGATTCACCCAAACTATAAAATACATATAGAGAGAGAGATTTTCTAACTTACTGGAGACACTTAATCAGGGATAAGTCGTTGCTGATTCATTTTAAACGCTTCAGCAGCAGTTAGCGTCTTACTGTTTCCTTCTACTGAAGCAGTTTGAATGACTATAATGTGGATGATTCAATCTACACCAGACATCCTGCTAAATATTTGTATTTTTACTGATCTTAAATCTCAGAGAAGAGTTTATTTATCTGAGCAAATTAAACTAAATATTTTTTTTTTACTTTTGTAGTTTGGGTGATTGACCCTACAGCAGATTATGACCCCTAACATCCTCATTTATTGCCTCCATGCTGCAGTGCTCCTCGCCATGTTTGCACCATTTGTAGATATTTAGTTTCCAAGAGGTGAATCCACCAACATGTTTGGATTCTTTAATTAGATTTTAGTGTTCTGATTGGGTATGTAAGGTAACGATAAGGAGCAACAGATATTAGCCTTTTTGAAAGAAAACCACATGAGCAGCAGCAAGATGGTGACATTTTTTTAAAAAGTTTGCTCCTCGTTAATCGCCTTCTCTCCATCCGCAGATTCCCTCCTGGCGTGGTGGGCGTTGCCCCCGGTGGGATTCCCGGACCTATGGAGGGGTTGGTGCCCGGGGGAGTGCCCATCGCCCACACCCTGCCCCCCGGTACCCATCCGTCACAGGCCACCTCCCCCAACCAACCCTCCAAACACGGCGACCCCATGAGAGAGCACATGACTGAGCCGTAGGACTGCTGCCGCTGTAGCCGAGCAGAGGGGGGGAGGGGCAAAACAAAAAATCCATGTAAAAGAAAAAAAGAGAGAAAAAAAAATAACAAAAACCCAGCAAACCTACCAACTCAATCATCCAACTGTACGCTTGACTTCAGCCATCTGAACCTACCAGCAGACTGCCTGCCGGGCAACGTTTCACACGTTTTCTTTTTTGTATGAAACCACTACGCCCCAGTGAGGACAGTGGACGTTACTGAGACACACCCGAGCTGCCACACTGAGACGGGACTGACCGTCGAACTCATGCGCCGAAGATCTGAAATGTCTCCTCCCTCCATATCTGTTTTTGTTCTTCATCGATTTAAGTGTTCTGTTTTGATCTTTACTTCCGAGTACATTTCAGGGAGAGTTCCTCCTGATTTCTGGGACACGTCGACAGTAACCGCGTGCAGGACGGAAACCTTGACCCTCTCCGGTTTAAAGGAAGACCTAACAGGACGACCCTTTAAGCCTCCCCTCTTTGAATTCCACCCATTTCAGCACAAACATGTCCCGTTCTATATTGTTTTTTTTTTTTTTTTACTTTCTTCTGTTTATCCTTTATTCTGTGTTTCTGTTGCAAGTGAATATTTGTTTTTCTGTTCTTCAGTGTGTGAAAATGAATGGATTTACAGTTAGAGGTGCGTTTAGCGGACGAGAAAGTACCCGTCAGACATCCGGACTCCATCTTTTGCTGTTTTTCCGGTCGTCGATGCCCCCTCTGAATGTAGAGACGAGAAGCGGGGCGATAGATGTGGAAGAATATTTTGGCTTATGAGGTAAAAAAATAAGAAAACAACCCTTTTGAAACCAAAAAAAAACAAAACAATGGAACTTAAAAGTTAAAAAAAAGAGGCTACCATTCGTGGTTAGATATCGTACGTTGAGTGTTTCACCTCAATTACATGTTGCTGTCGTAACTTTCCCAACTCTGCTGAACTGAGGTACCTACGAGATTTGGTTATTGTCATGACCAGTGTCCCAAATATGATCTGTTTGCATCCAAAGGACCTGAAGGACAAATGAGGTATGAAAGTGTTTGGGAAAAAAAACTGACTCAGGAAAAAAAACAAAACAAAAAAAAAGAAATATTAACCTTCGAATCTGTCCAAATCTGAACAGGAAAGAAAAACACCAACTCTGGATTTACTGCTTTCCACGTCTCCACATCTTTCTCCATTGTGGTATTTTTTTGTTTTTTTATATATATCAAATGTACATTTTTTTTGATGTTCGAGGTTTTCACTCCTGTTAGATTTGTATTGCCTTGTTAAATGTTCATATAACCGTAGTCTTATGTGACCGACCCTCCGCCCTCTCCTTCTTATAGTTTCTTCTTCTTCTTCTTCGTTTTTTTTTTTTGTTTGTTTCGTTTCGTTTTGGGTTTTTTTCTGCTCTAATGAAAGCCAGCTGTGGCTCTTGGAGGCATGGCGTCCTCCCTGAACAGCAGCAGTCACATCCATCCCTTTAGCCCCATGACGTTAGCAAGAGACGGCTGCTAGCAGATTGTTTGGTTTTTAGTGTGAGTATTTGTATTTGTTTCTTGTACAAGGTGAACATATAGCATACAGTGCAGCTGGAACCAATAAATAAAACTTACTGTTCTGATTGATGATCGCCTCTCTGGAACGTTTTGTTGTAAAGTCGTCGTTGTCTGACACCGTGTCCCCTCTCTGTGTGCAACAACGCTGGTGGATGTAATTGTGCTTTATTTAACTGTATTTGCAGTTTTTTTACTCCACTCTGCTTGTTCTCTTTGCTCATCGTTTTGATTTTCAACCCTGGTACACCACAAAAGCTGCTCACGAATGGCTTGAGGAACATGACCAAGAGCTCAAGGTGAAGGCTTGGCTGCCAAACTCCTCGGATCCCACAGGTGCACCCAAACAAGCCTCTAACATGGACACCCAGAAAACCACAGCACCCTAGGGATACGCCGCCCACGTTCTGGTGCAAGAACATCCAAGGATACCTTCAGTGGTCCTGTATCCACGGCTGGGTGGGTCAGAGCTGTTGGTGGCACAAGGAGGCCCTGCACAGGCTGATGGTCTTTACATTGTAGCTGATT